GTACACATCCTCTTGTTGCCATAGCAAACAAATAAATAATATTAGAAAATAAAAATAATGTAAAAGTGCACATACAAACAAATATTATCCAGAAATGACACGTTATGCGGCCTGTTAACCAGTGTATTTCTCATGTGTTCTAGAATGATCAATACGATTCGTGTCATGATTGGTCTAGGGAAATTTATAGCCAGCGGTTGTCAACATTTTAAGCATAACAAAATATGACCCGATTTCAATGAAAATGATTCACTTATATAAACGTACATATGATGTTTTGTAAAAAAATCTGTAAGTGATGGAGAAAAATGGATATCATTTTTGGATTCAGTGTACAGGAATTACTGTAGAAGGTGTAAAAATTTCAGGACAATAAAACCATCGCAGGACTGTGTAATTGCTCTCAAGTTAAAACTTTGTGTAAATAGAGATAAGAGGTTTATTTGTCCTTGATCTACCACAGGTATAAACTCAGCAGAAGAACTCAGGATTTTATTTTATTTTTTTCCATGGCAACAGTTCTTTCCCAAAGGCACTATAGTGCCTTAGTTGTTTTATAGACATTAAAAGTGTATTATTAAATAAACTATATCTAGTTCATAACTCTAAAAGAGAAATAACTGTTAATAAAAATTAATCAAATTAGGCTTCCAAAGCTAAAACTTATTACATCTAATGATTTATGTTCACATTACAGACTTCAAAGCATTTAACAATTTTAAATGCCTGATGTAAGTAACCTCTGGAAATAAGTTTAGGTCAGGTAACTTAACTCAGCTATTATTCTAGTAGCTTATCCCTTAATAATTCTTTCTGTAAATGTTCCCTTAAAGATAACCATTACATGTATATAATTATGTCTATTTTTTATCACGTTACTTGGTTTACATAATGTGTAAACATTGATATGTTATGCTATTAGAGGTGCCACCTGAGCAGCTGTAAAACAAGTAACACTTTTATTGGTGTTTGATAACTTTCAGGATTTTTGTGAAGTCATAGCTCTGGAGGTAACTAAGGTTTAAAATAATAATGATGCATCTTGGACAAACTAAAGAACAAATCACATTACATATTTACCTGATATAGACTGTAGTAGGATCAGTTTTGTAGAATATATAACATTTGACTACCTAATGTAATATCCTGCTTTAATACCAGCAGAAATATGGAACTACGTTATGTACGGATGGTAAACACATGCACATGATTTCATAATAACTATTGAAAGTATAGATGTATTTTGTGTATTGTTCTAATGTTGTTGTATTTTACGTATTGTTCTCATGTTCATTACACCTCATATTATTTATTTAGAAGTAGTAATAGGTTTAAATTATAGGTGGTAAACACATGCACATGATTTCATAATAACTATTGAAAGTATAGATGTATTTTGTGTATTGTTCTAGTGTTTTATTTTACGTATTGTTCTCATATTCATTACACCTCATATTATTCATTTAGAAGTACTAATAGGTTTAAATTATAGGTGGAAAGATTACCTTTTAAGCTCCTAGAGTAAAACTTTAGAAGCTTTGTCAGAGAAAATGAAATCTAAGAGAGCTTATCTTGTGGTATTGTTTGCAATTTTCAGGTAATTATATGTATTTTTTTAAGATTTTGATCCTCATTTCATTGAGAAGCAAGAACTTCAACCACCATCGTCTCTTCCTATTAGCTATATTTTAAGGTAAGCAAGTTGTATGTTTAGTTTGTGTAAGTGAATGGACTAATAATTTAGTTCAGAAAAAAGTAAGGAGTTGTCTATTATAAAGATTATTATCGTTTTAGTGTAATTTTTTGAACTAAGATACCAGAAAATTGTGTACACATGTGGAGAGAAAGATATAGATATACATTCTTTCCATGATTAGCAAGCATTGGAAACAAGTGAATAAATGTGCTAATTATTTAATAGTAGCTGGAAAAAATAGTTCTTAGCTAAAATGTGTTCTTGCAATTTAAAAAAAAATACTTGAAATTAGAGGTTTTGTAAATCTTAGAGAAACTATGTAGTCCTCATGAGATCTTGTGTTGTAATGTACAGAAAGATTAGCTAAATCAGATTTTTTTTAAATGACATTTTAAATTTATAAAACAATGAGCATAAATTATAATTCGTGTTTATTTATATGTAATTTTTGCTCATTCTTTGTAAAAACAGTTGGAATATTACAGATCCTTGAAAGTTTGTTTGGAGTGTAGTGTAGAGGCATCTCAAAAGGCCTTGAATTGTGTATTAGGAAAAGCATGTACATGATGATTGTCCTAGTTATGTGTGAAAATTGCATGTACATTTTTACATGTAGAGGGCACATAAAAATGTTTATGGTCATCACTTAAGAGTCTTTGAAAGTTTTGGAGTTGAGTTTCTTCTTCTTTAGCCTTAGTTGAAATAAAATTGAAGTAAAAAATAACTGAAGTCTACAGAGTTTTCTCTCTCTTTTTGAAATTGAAATTATCATAGACTGTTGCAAGTCTGAATAAAAGTTAACCACAGAAAGTTTGATTGTTTAGATTTTGAAGTAAAGATTGCCTATTCAGGATGTGTCAACTTTTGCTGATTTTGTATTTCTTTCTTTATTGATATCATACTTTTGGGATGTTGTAGAAACTGTTTTGTACTCCCCTAAGTTTGTTCACTAGTACAAATTTTGTAACTATAAAACATAACACTTATAATGATCTGAACTATTTATTTCTTAAAGCTCTAAATGAAACTTGCCAGAAAATTTGGACTTTCAGTGTTGTCTCATGATAGATGTACTATAGAACGAATTAGTTGCAAATATTTTTGCTTGATTTCCTTGTTCTTTTAGTGTAGCTTGTTAGTAGTATTTCTGAACTTTAAATCAATAAAAATACCAAATTCAGTGGCATACTGTGAAGGCCTTGGAGCAATAATATTTAACTCTTTCCCCCACAGACTACAAGTTACTGTAAAAATGAAATAAATGGGTGAAACTGACATTCCCTTAAATAATACTGACCAATTAAGTATGTCACTACAATTGAACAGTGAAATATTTTCTTTCTGAAAGCTGACAAATACTTTAATAAATACACAAAAGAAAATACAAAGTATTTATTTTTATTCATATTAGAAAAAAATCCCTGTATAAGTATGTCAATCACAGCATTGAAATCCACAGTTTGTGCTTGTTCTTCGTCATTTCTATTCAATTGATAGCATTGACAAATTGCCCCTTCAGCTGGTCTATAGGCTTTGTCCTTCTCAAGGGGTATTTGGTACCTCTAACATTTTAGTGCTGACCCTGTTCACAGGTGGGCATTTCATGAGTTGTGTCTGTGTATCAGGCAGGCCGCTAGGTTACAAAATTGTTGATTTTATGTATCTTACAAATGGGCCTATATGAGCTAGGACTGAATAGTTTTTTCCAACATTGTTAACAAATAAAATGAAGGGTAATACTAGACTTTTTACATGTAAAGTTGTGACTGTACATTCTTTGTGTGCTTAAAAATCAGGTTAAGATCACATATACTTTTATTTCCACTTTGTTGAGAAACCTGGTTAACCTTTAGATCTTGAGTCCATACTGTTTATAAAGGTCATCTGACATCCAAAGTCAGTGTTCAAAATTATGTTGATCTCTTAATTTCTTGTGTTATGTGGATTATTTGGTGTTAGAGCTGGTTAAATAGAACTTAGTCACAGTTTAGAGATCCAGAATTATTTGGGAATGTGGTACAGTGATCAAAACGTTTTTGGTTTGTTTTAGAGATCTTGATTAAGCTCTAAAATGCAGGTTCTTTGTACAGTTTATGAAACTAAAAATCAATATTTAAGTATATAAAGATTCCAAATCTGTTATACAAAAGTTAGAAACCATCATGATTTTTCTCTTCAAAGATACATCATTAATGTCACAACAGGATTTTTTTTACATATGCTTGCAAAGTTAGTGACATTTCTTTAACAAAATGAAAAAAGAGAAAATTAGTAAAACACAAAAAGTCCTTTGAGAAATCATTGTTAGTGTACGACTTATAAATATATATAAATTTTTCATGAAATATGTTCAAGTGAAATGCTTTGAGTAAAACTAACTTATGTGAATATAATGATTGAAATAGGTTTTAAACTTAGCCTCTAAGTGTATTGTTTCATCTGTCATTTACACTGAATTTGCCCCCCAGCGGAACAGCGGTATGTCTGCAGACTTACAATGCTAGAAACTGGGTTTTGATACCTGTAGTGGGCAGAGCACAGATAGCCCATTATGTAGCTTTGTGCTTATTTACGAACAAACAAACCCACTGAATTATGTAAAAGGTCATGATGTACAGAGTCGTCATACTTACTTGAGAGGCTAAAGTTGAATAAAATTAATTTATGTGAATATAATGATCGAAATAGTCTTAAACTTAACCTGCAAGTATTTTGTTTCATCTATCATTCCCACTGAATTATATAAAAGGTCATGACATACAGAATTGTCATACCTACTTGAGAGGCTAAAGTTCACTGAAAACAAAATGTAATATGCTTTCTGATTAAGATCACAAAAAACGTTTTTCTACAATATTTTGTCTTTTTCTTTTAGAGTGTTTACAGAGACGGGAAAAAAAGAAACCATTGATGGGCCAAAAAAGAAACAACAAAGCCAGTCTCCAACTTCATCTTTAAACAGTGTACCACCAATTGGCACTGGTATAATATCACATTTATTGTATTATTTACTCAGATTTTGGAATTTAGTTACTACTTATATCAAACAAATCATACAACAGGAGTGCTTTATTGTTTTTATAATTTATTATAAAACAATACACAAGATAGAACATTACTTGTTTTCAATCACATGGTTTGCAAAACTCAAGAAAAGGATATTTTTACATTTAATTTCAAAATAATTATGTAAAATAATTCTCATCTGTAAACAGTACATGCTGTTTTTAATGATTATTGGAAGTTTGAACTATATGGTTACAAGTAGTGGATTTGTGTGTCCAAAATCTTAATTTAGTAAAAAAAAACAATTAGAATTGTAATGGCAACAGTAGAGAACATAGTGTATTTACTAAACATTTTGAAAATACACAGGTTCTGTCATGAACATTTTGGAAGTAACCAAAAAGATATATAATATGAATACACTAAATTATACAATATACATGCTGTTGGTATGATTTTATTTACTCTCAGAATACTTATAAAAGAGTCTATATAATTCCAAAGTGTTTAGTAAATATGTATTGTACTATTGTCATCATGAGGGGCCTGTGTTTGATTATTTAAACAATGTGTGCATCTCTTTTGTAGGGGTTTATAGATCCTCTTCCATAATCTAAGCTCAGATTGATTACACAATTTGTATGAAATAAAACTGAGGGTAAACCATTTTAAAAAACAACCTAATTATGGCTGATCATTGTGAATAACTTTGCAAAATGTAACCTACACCTAAATAGGTCTTTATTTTTATAATGCTTATTTCAAGCTCTCTTTCTTTTCTTTTTCTGAACAGTAATTATATTATGTTTCAGACTTATTTCTACCCCCCCCCCCTCCTTCCTTGACATTTTAAGCTGTTTGACACTTGAAAAATTATAGCAGTATTGATTAAGTTTGGTTTTCTTGTTTGATGAGAAGATTCTATAAACTTCAGAAGATTAGTGCATATAACCCACTGTACCTTTTAAGTTCATAGGAAGGGGCTTAGGATTAATTAATATAGAAACAGATATATATATCGTTAGTTAAAATTTTGTTAGCATTACTTCAGGAACATGCATATCTAACAATGGACAATAATATAAAAATACATCATAAATAAGTATATGGCTGTATTTTGTTTGCATATATAGTGGTTAATGGTACTGTAAACTATGAATGAAAATTGTATACATAGGTAGACCAACAATAACCACTGAGAGGAGGGTAAAACTATCACCCCCAATTATATTGGCTGATGTCACATTGGGGTTTATGCATGTTAGTTAATATAGAAAGTGCATTCTAGTGATAACTGTCAATTTGTAATATAATTTTTTTATACTACTGAGTTATATTGATATGTCCCAACTCATTAGGAAAGCTCCTGGTAACTATTAGGACCAGTTTACTTCTGATTAATTGTCTCATCAAACCATTGATGATTATATGCTGTTGTTTAATTTTGATGATTTAAAAAAAAAAAGTATGATCAACAGACCATTGCTTTCTGTTCAGGGAGCGAGGTTGATGATGAAGATATGATGAGTGGCTCAGAAGATAGCAATGACTCGTGGGCCAATCAGGATGAATTTCTATCTGAATTCATTCTCAGGTATTGAAATATCAATAGTTCAAATTACAGCTTTTGTTGTTAGTTAATATGATTTTTTTCAGATTGTTTTTTGTATTAACTATTCATGAATAATTAATAATTAACTGATCTGTGAATGGGTACCATTTTGTGAGTGTCATGGATTAATCACATGTAAGCATTTACCTACATTGCATGATGCATAAGCTTTCATAAATGACTTACTACATATAGGCTTTAGCAACTTTTACCATAAATGTGATATATCATTTTGAAAAGGTTTCTTCTAATGCAAAAAAAAAAAAAATTTATATCTGTATATTTGGTATTTTTAGATACATCTGCATGTGTAATGGTATTAGTTGTGAGGGAAACTTTAAAATGATACAGTTTAAAATTTAACTTTTTTTTTGGAGTTACTAGTCTTCATGATCTTTTGTCAGTGCAAATACAAACTAATGTCTTAGATAGCTTTGTAAGATATTGTTTTTGTATCTGGAATAAAGACAGTATTTTAAAAGGTTTTGATAATATTTTCAGGATAAGGCAACAGTATGTTGCTATAGTTGGAAAGCATTGCTTTAAAGGACAGCATCATTCAGTTACTAATACTACTAACAGAATAATGAGCAAGTCAGTTTTACCAATGCGATTTTACTTTTGTTGCATTAAACTCCAATAGTCATATATTTTGAAAGATATAGAAATAAGAATAAACTGAAATCAAGACAAATCTTTTTTCACACGTGGACACATCTATCAAATCTTATTTAATGTATTACCAGTTATCTATTATGATTTTTGATTATTCAGAAATGGTATGAGAAATAAATGACTGAAGGTTAATGAAGTGAAGATGACTAAGGAGGAAAAGGATATCAAGAGAAAAATAACCTTACAATTTTCATGAAAGACCCTTAGCAAACTCGTGACCCTCAGATTGCGAGTCGAGCGCCTTAACCACCTGGCCATGTCATTAAGAAGTATGCAAAAGGCAATATATTTAAAAGAAAACTAAAGTCATGAAATACAGATTGAATAAAGTAAAGATGTTAAGGTTTTTCATGCATATCTGTAATATGCATAAAACTTTGTATACTGCTTAACATGTTAATATTGCAAGTTATGCCATTTAAACTTTTAACTAAGAAAGTTTAAGGGTAGCAAATCATGTTATAAATTAAAAAAATTATTGAAGAATTGGAAAATTAAAATGTTAATTTAGATAGATAGATGTAATTATCATTACATTTGAGGTAATGCACATAGCTTGAGTCTCACATTGAATCAACTATAAGTTTATGGACTTAAAACGCTAACACCCAGGGTTCATTTCCCCACGATGGGCACTGAGCCTATTGGATAGCATTGTGCTAAAATTACAAACACATATATTGAAATTATCACTGCCTTTTTATTAAGTTCACTTGATCTTCGTAGGAAACATTCACACTGGCACCATAACAAGAGAAATGGCAAATATGGTTACTAACTTGAACCGTAGAATTGTTTTTCAGGCACAAATACTATATAAGATTCTAAGTGTGTTCTTCTCAGCAATAGCGTTTATAACTTAGAATAAGGAATACTAACTTAATACTTTTTCCACTCACAGTTGTAACTATGTTTATGGATAATTTTAATGTACAGTACTTAAAGTACAAGTACATTTTCAAATATACTTGTTTAAAATGTGGATGTTTTGTGACTTGTATACTTAAATTTAGTTCCAGTAATTTCTTTTTTTTCTCCTTAACCCAATTTATTCTTTATTATATATTTTAACTTGGCTTTACGTTTGAAAGCCCTCAGCCGAAAGAACTATGGTATTTTCACTAAGATTTTTGAAAATAAAAACACTATATATCACTCGGTTATAAGTTAGTCTATGTTAAGACACCTGAAAATACAAAGAAATTATTAAAATATATATAAGGAAATAGAAATATTGTCGATATGTAGTTAGCAAACCTGGTTAGTGTTTACATAACATTTTACATATATTTCACATTTTAATTGGATATTGTTCATTAAAATAAGGTTAAAATTTAAAAGTAAAAGCATGTATGAACTTAAAACTTGTTTATTTTCAGATATACAAAGTACAATATTTATGGTTACAATGTTTCAACAGGCTAACCTGGCATCATCAGATAACTGATGATGCCAATTTAACCTGGTAAACCATTGTAACCATAAATATTATACTCTAGATATCTGACGATAAACAAGTTTTAAATTTTACATAACAGGATACTTCCTTTAGTTATACGTGTATGAACTTATTTTACAAGTTAGATTCATCACAAAAAAGAAACAGAAACTAGCTGTAGAAATGTGTACATCAATGTAAAATAATGTTTATATATTACTTTTAAAGGTTTCATTAGTTATATTTATAAGTAAGTGTAAAAGAAAGGAAATCTAGCTTGGTATCAACATTTGATTTTTTTTTATTTAAATTATGTAAAATCTGATCCCAGAAATTATATCTTTATTTATATAAACATCTTTTTGACTATTGATATTGATTATAAGGAGTAAGATGACAAAGATTAAGTTTAGCTTCATATTCTGATTACATGAATAGGCACTTCCTAAGTTTATCATATTTCTTAAATGTTTTGTCATGAAGTAGTACAGTTACCATTGAAATCTTTAATGCTTAAGTGTACTTTACTTTAAACTTACAAAATTTAAGATAACATATGTTTGTCAAAGTATTCTAAATGTTAAGCATACTTTTGATATGTGTTGTTGTTTTACATACATGGGGAATTACTATTGGCAATCTCTCAGAACTGCTTTACCCATGTAGTCTCCCTCTATGGGCTGTTTATTTGAAATAATTATTTTTTTAACATGTCCAATAAACTTTGATTTGTACTTCTTTTTTGTAATAAAAAGTTTAAAATTGATATGGGTCTTGAGCTAAATTATCAAAATACTTTTGCATGTTACGTACCAAGAGCTTTAAGAATACTGGTTGAGTAACATTTTATTTTGGGGTGGAAATTTTATTCTCAGTATAAATGTTTTTAAATATATTCCACAGTTTTGAACTTTTGCCACAAGCTTTACTTTTAAGCTACATGTAGTATTATAAGTTTCAATTTTCAGTGATTTTATCAGATTTGATAGGCTTAGACAATTTTGTAGGAACTCTGTGGGAGGAATTTCTAATGGAATATTTTAATCAAACAATCAGGGTTTCTTCTAGGTTCTCAAACATGACTATCTTTGTGAAGAAATCACCCTTAATTTTGTGAAAAATAGCATATAAGATTAAACAACTGATTTTTTTATCCTTTGAAAACTTAAGTACTTGTATTACAATCAATAAAATTTTATGACTGAAACTTAAAAGAAATCTACACCCATTCTTTGAAAATTTCACATTTGTGAAAAGAGTTTACAGTTTATCAATCTGTATGAAGACCACTTATTGGTCTTTCTAGGCTTACTTAGAGATCTGGCTATATTCAAAGTTTATTTGATAAAATTTGCAAGAAAACCATGCAAGATGATTATAGCTAAGTTTGAATTGTTGTAGATATTTAGATATTAACAAATGTGTTGAGGAAAGAGTTGGTATTTAACTTAAATTTGATGTGGCTACATCTAAACCAAAAATAACATGAAACAGATTTTAATCATTTCTTTGCATTTTCAGATATCTTGATGTAAACTAACTTATCATTAAGTGACATGTACGTGTAATCAGATCCTTAGGTATAATGCATTTCTAAAACCATCATTTGAAGTAACATATATATATTTGAATAGGGTTTACTCCAAAATTTAAAGTTTTTGTTATCATTATGGATTATATGGTAACAAAAAAAATTCTACAGTGTTGTAATCAAAGTATAGTTTTTAGTTTATATATTTAATGTGAAGATTGTACTACACAGGATGATTGGTTCAGCAAACTCAAGTGAGGGCAGACCATTTGCTTGTCCTGTTACTGGATGTAAGAAACGGTATAAGAATCTCAATGGTATAAAATACCATGCAAAGAATGGACACAAGAAAGAAGCAAAGTAAGTGGTTAAATAGCTTAAAAAGCATATCCTTAAAATAAGACTCTCTTTGTGAAGAAATTGCCCTTTACTTGTATCGCTAGAAACTGGGTTTTTACACCCGTGGTAGGCAGAGCACAGATTGCCCATTGTGTAGCTTTGTGCTTAACTACAAACAAACAAACAGTCACACTTAATTTTGTTAAAAATAACATATGAAATGAAACAAATGTTTTTTTATCCTTTGAAAACTTAAGTACTTATATTACAATTAATAAAATTTTATGACTGAAAAATAAAAGAAATCTGCACCCATTCTTTGAAAATGTTACATTTGTGAAAAGAATTTACAGTGTATCAATCTGTATGAAGACCATAAAATATTTCATTACACTTTTTATATGGTGATATCACTAAAGGTTTAACACATTATTGGTTTCTAATTTAAGTTGGCATATTTCCCTTTGCCCCAATATACATCTCTTTTCTCATTTTGTCCCTAGAGTAACTTCCTAGTTTTTTGCACTCTTTCTCTTCTTGGTAATTTAATGCTTTTCTAATTTTCTTTTCCCGATTGTACATGCACATTGCTATTGTGTCTCAAGAATGGCTTAGAGCATTGTCATTCTTCACTCAGCAACATACCACTTTTGTTTCTTTGTGTGCAGGGTAGTTATAAAGTCAGTATGGTACTTTAAGCAGTTAGGAAGTTAAACTGTGAAACTTTTTGATGAGTAGTTGTAATTTGTTCATTGTTATAAAGTCGATATGGGTATTTTAAACAGTTAGAAAGGCAAACTGTGAAACTTTTAAGCAAGTAATTTGTTCATTGTTTTAAAGTCAGTATGGGTATTTGAAACAATTAGGAAGGTAAACTGTGAAACTTGGATACCATTAGTTTGTGTGTGGTTATATAGTTAATATAGGTATTTTAAACAGTTAGGAAGGCAAACTTTTTGTGTAAATGCATAGGGAATCATGGGAAGTGTATTCCACTGGTTTCTGGAAATGATGCATGAACTAGGCTGGTATATATATGTGCAGGATGGAATATGTAACTGTTACTAAGTCTTTCGCAGTGGAAGGAACAACACATTGTTAAATTTGGAACAACAGATCATGCTGGGGGAGCTGTACCATCAAAATGGCTGGAGTGTAAACTGAAACAATCCTGGACATGTTGTTGTAGGAAAACACAAGATATAGATCAGGCACAACTTTTTTCATTCAATAGATTGGTTAAAAAGGTCTCATCATACCACTTCCAACATGCTTCCTTACCTTTATTCCATTGCTAGCTACTAATTATGGGTATTTCTGAAAATGTAGATCTATCATTATAACTCAACAATCATATCTCAACCAAACGATGCCATCATGATAGAGATTCTGACAAGGTACCTTACTTCTGGTCACATACATAGCTATTCTCATTTGGTGCTGCCTTCTACTTGCAAAAAAAATGTCGCATACCTGAAGCCTTTCACTTCCAAGCACCACTCGATTCACATGGTTTAACTGATTCTCGCATGCAAGTTATCATGCGACAAACCTCCACCAATAGTAGTGCAATACACCCACATGACTCATGTGACTCCCTCTATGCTATTCTACATAAGTATCACTTTACGTTTGGCAGTGCTCATGTTCTGACGTTTAGTTTGTGCTCTCTTCGAGTGTTTTTTTTTTTTTCGTATCTTCATACTAATTTCTCTTAACAAGTTTACTCATTATTATATAATAGTGATATTTCTAACTTCTTCCGAAGTGGAATTATTTTATATTTATACCAAGTTACGAAACTTATTACTTCATTATAAATTTTTTTTCTACTTTTTGCTTCTTTCTGTCAACACAGTTGTGTTTGGTTATTCATTTTGTATGAATTCCAAATCCTAAGTTACTACTTTGGAGGTTATATCTTCTATCAGCACATTTACACAGGCTTCAAGTGATGGTCCTCAACTGGGAAGTTATCAGCTTTACTTCGTCGGGAGATTAATCATCCAATGAGCTGACCTTCATCAAGCCTTGACTCAAGTTTGGGGCCCACACATTTTGAAATATGGTCTGCTGACTTTGGAAAGATAAGGCGTTATACTGTTATGGTTTTTGAATATTTTTACTGTTAATATTATTATCAGTAGTTACTATTTCATACGTATGTTATTGTCAATACACACTTAATTTTACAGTATAACATCTGTTTCATTTTTGTTATTATTTATATTTTATCCTTCATATTAACTTTGTTTGGGTGGACTCCTGGAGCCAGAGTCTGCACAAACTCCTCCTTCCGATATTGTACGTATTATTGTTAGGTTAGGATTTTTCAATTAGAGCTTAGTGATATACTTTGTCCTGCACTGTTCAATTAGGCTTAACAAGTGTCTTTTATGTTAGGTTTACCTATAGTTCATCTTACGGATAAATCGATAATTAGGTTAAATATCTTGTTTTCTTCAACACATAACATCTTATACATATGTTTATTTCACTACACACATGAATGCAATCCACGACTGAAAGAAACTGAAAGTATTTTGAGCACTGTAAAAATGTCAACGAGATTGTTTTGGCACCTGTGTCGATTATGCTCTCTAATACTCTTGGAGCAGGAACAGCGTGTCACACGACTTTACAGTTAATTTCAATAATGCTTTTTTTTTCTAAATTCTACTCATTTTCATTTTACATTATAAATAACAATAAACTTATAAGAATTTTAACAAAAGTTCATAACCCTTGGAGATTTCATATCTAAACTAGATGCCAGAGAGAGGTAGCCATAACCTTGAAACTCCGGGTGAAAAAATAGCATAACATTAGACTAATATGACCAGACATCCTGATTTTGGTGGGACAGTCCTATTTTTGAGCTGCCTGTCCCACTGCCCCCCCCCCCAGAAGCTTTAGGGGGGACGCAAGAATGTCCCACTTTGGGAGATAATGAACTTAAATGTTCCGTATTATAAAAATTAATACCGGTAAGCACTACTGTGCTATGACTGCACATGAGATTTATCCTGTCCTTGTACATTATCCTTCATTTTCATATATTAACATTCAAATACATAGATAATAATATAATACTTATTGAGGATGCTATAATATAAAATTAGCTTGTTTATTGTCCCATAAAACATCATTAGGTATTAGCCATTGACCTTCATACTATGAAATCATTGAAATATCGTATGTTAGTGTTCAGTACATAGTAATATTGTTATAACTGACAAAACAATATGAAGTTAGTTTGCTTAATCTTGGGATATGTGCTGAATGTCCTAAACATTATTGACAATTTATTTTCAACTCTGTTATGTCTTGAATTTTTGCAGCTTATATCAGTCTATATACAGTTATTACTGTAACATTTCACTTACAGACACCTTATCATTATATCAATATCGTGAACAAAATTTTGTATTGTTTTCAGACAATTTGGTTAAATAACTTTTATTTTTAGGTTAATTATACAGGGGCTCTGCTAGAGGGGGTGGCTAGTCACCCCTATAAACAAAAGATAGAAAATGTTTATGCTTCTTTTAACATTCTATTATGTTCCTTGATTCACTACTTAACATCTCATGCCATTTTTCTGCAGAAATATCTATTTATGTCATTTGTTTACTACCTTTCAAAGGCTTATTCCCTGAATTTCTCTAGCTTTATGCAAATAAATAAATACAAAAAATATTGAAAATTTTGATAGTCAAGCAGCTAGCCCCCTCCCCCAACAAAATCCTGGTGGAGTGGCTGGTTATATCTATGAAAAATATGATCATTTACTAGTGTATAGCTCATCAAAAGTGATTAAGCAAGTACTAACAACCCCACCCCATAGTATACCCTAACCTCACATTTCTTAGCTAACTGAAATAAATTTTGCGAAATCAAACTTGACCAATAAAGAGGCAGAAAAGTGCAGTCGAGGCAGTCAAACGTTGGTAAATTCCTTTGTGAGTCAAACAAAATTAAGAGCATTCATGAAATGAATTCATGGCATATTCATAGAATAATTTTTGGTAAAAATTAGTTAGATTAACAACTAATAAATTAAAAAGCCAGTGCATTTTAGTAACACTACGTTCCAACAATGGCATTTATGTCATGTTGCTTAGCAACAAAAGTATAACCTAATATTGTTGTTAATCTATGTACTGAAAGTTTTAAATGAAATGTATAGACAACAAAACTGGAAAAATATTTGTTGGTTTCTTAATTTAGAGTCTCCGTTGGTTAAAGAGGTTTGTTGTTTATTTAAAATGTTAATGATATAGCAGAAAATAGCTTAATTCAGAAACGATTTAAGTTTAAAATTGAATTTATATTTTTCCTTTCAGGGTAAATTTTATGCTTGACTGTTGGCTAGGTTATCCCACACTACATGTTTACTTTAGGTTTATCATACCAACACTCACTACACTTTATAAGGTTTTACAACACCCCCACCCGTGGGCCCCTTGCACCTCCTTCACTAAAATCATAGAGGGTAGACAGTAATTGAACTATTCTATCTGGAGAAATATATTTTGGCTTTTATGACTCCTCCTATTTCAAGAAATCAAGTGTGACTTGACATGTACTGGCTTTTATATAGGTTAGATTTTTCAGGAGCCTGTCCCATGTTTTGACCAGGATCACTCTCTGTGGCAAGTGGTGCTTGTCCAGGTATACTTCAGTCACTTAGAATTGTACTAAAACCAGCACTGTAAGGCCATGTTGACTTCACTTTCATAACTTTCATGGCTACAAAATGCATACTGTTCATTATAATCACATAAACTGGAGATGAGGTATTCCACAAGATTGCTCGTAGGTTATTTCTCACGATATCTTTGCTTCATAAATATGCTTGTTCCAGACTGTACTAACTCATGGATTTTATGGGTAATGCTAAAGGGGATTACTGCCCATAGGGTTTCATGGTTTACCACATTTGCTCCCTCACCGTTTCTTCCAGTGGAGTAAGAGAGACCTTACCACTTTCCAGTTCCAAGCCGTTGAGGTGGTGGACCATGGAGGTATCCACCTGAATGAGGGATACACGATATAAACAATGAAGATTCCAATCAGTTGAGAGTAGGGTGGTGGTGGTCCGCTGGTGTAGATGATGAGATGTTCTCCAAATGGATGCTCCATCTCTGCACGGGTTTCTCCGAGGGGATGTTGTAGCTTTGGAGTGTGCTGTCAAATGATTGGAATCCCTCATCCTACCCCCACATAGATTTGGTTCTCAGGGTTGAGTTTTGGATTTAAAGTTGAACCAATCAACATGATGTACTCACACATGTAGTGTACCAACATAAATGCAGTTCACCCCTTCTATTGAGATTTCTCATCCTACCTCCACATGGATATCAGTTCCCAGCAGTTGGGTTTTGTATTTAGAGCTGAACCAATCAACGTAGGTCCTCACACATGTTCAGGGTGTCCCTGGTCCCTCAATCAATTTACCTCGAGTGCACTACCCCAATGTTGTGGGTCACAGTGGGTGCAATTGTTGGTTGCTTCACTTCTTCATCTTGCACTACCCCCTCGATGTCTTTCTGCCGAGGACGTTAGTTCCGGTCTGTTTGATTTGAGTGGGATATATATGTATGTTATTTCACTCTTTTAACATGTGCCCTGTTTTCAGATTGGTGGTGGTATTTCTCCGTCCGGTCGGCTGAACTTGAGGTGAAGACAGTATGATCCTCTTTCGTACCCCTGCCTGGATGTCGGTTCCCAGTGGTCAAGGTTTGGATGCAGTTGACTTGCTGGCTACGGTCCATCATGCCTTAGCCGCCCTACACTTTGGGACACATCCCTTATTATACCCACATTCTGTTCACCAGGGAGATTGAAATTATATTATATTGTAGTTAGGATCACTGTCCAACTGTTTTCTCTCCCATTGGGATGTGTTCCTCACAATTTTTCCTCCGGATCTGTCACACCTTTTCCACATCTGGGCAAAGAGTATATCTGGTACAGAAGTGGTGCAGTCTCCCATGTATAATCCTCTTATTAGAGGGTTCACTTGTTAGGGTGTCCTTCTGATGCTTCTACTTTCTCTCTTGTACTAGTTCGTCCACCTATTCAATGTGGGATTCTAGCTATGTATATAAGTGGAAGTAAGGTACCTTGTCGGAACTTATAATTTTCCTACATTGAAAATGTAGTATTTCCGACAGGTACTTCCTTTTGCTCACACTTCCCACCTTTTCTCCCCATTATCAACCAGTGCTTATGTTTCTGCCTAAACTAGAAGTGATAGTTAGGTGGAATAGCAGAGGGAGTCACGTGAGTTACGAAGCACTACTATTGGTTGAAGTTTTGTTGCATGATAATTTGTATGCAAGAATTAGTTAAATCATGTAATTCGAAGGTTGCATGGAAGTGAAAAGCTTGTGGCGTGCAAAAAAATTTTGGCAAATAGAGGGCAGCACTGAACAAGAATTGCTATATACGCGAGTATAAGTAAGTACCTGTCAGAAATACATTTTCAGCGAATGAAAATTATAACTTTGGTTGATTTCTATCAAGATGTTATGTATTACAGTATTCAACACCATTGTCAGGATGAATGTAGTAACCACAATTAATGATGGCTACATTGAACAGTTGCTCTAGTGTCACCCCTAGTGGTCATTTTGAGAAACTAGTGTAATGCACTTTATTGTGATTTCTTAAGCATGTGTGCAAAATATTTCACCTGTATGTGTTACGTGGTACAATCAACAAACTATTTCCAATACTAATGACTTTATAATCACCCTGTACGTTATTTCACTGTATCATGGTAAGAAGTCTTCATTTAGCAACACAATACTTTTTAATTTCTATTACCATTATGAACTTTAATGCCACTATACAGTATTGTTTCTATATAGCCCACATATCATATTTATGGTCTAGTATGCATATGTGTCACCAAACAATTTTTATAGCAGAGTAGGTTGTGTTGCACTCTTTTTTTGTTTTGTTCTTTGTTAAATATTATATGAAATCTGGATAACCTCGCTATGGTCTGTCTTGCACATGTATCATTGTGTTTGTTGCATAATCCTGTTATAAGCTTCATTTAGAAACCTTACTCGCTCCCATTACATTTTATTTTTATAATCTAAGTGATGAGATCATAATGAATTTTATAAAGAATTTCACTTTTAAAAGATTCGCATACTAAAGGCTGTTTTTCATGGTTTCTAGTTGCACACAAACACATAAACACTGTGCTGTGGTTTAATATAAATGAATTTTATACATACTCAATAGAGATTTTAACAAAAATAATGATTAGTCTCATTTTCATAATAATATTTCATTCATCTTCTTAGAAAGGCATTTGTACGGTAGTTTGTAAGAATAGTCCATGATTACGTTTGACTCATCTGTGAAGAGAGAGTATATGTGCGTGTGTGTGTATTATTGTATTTTATATGTTTATTTGTCATCTTCTCTATCTCAGACCTAAGAAGATTTACAAGTGCCAATGTGGTAAAACATACATGACATCCCAGGGTTTGAAAAACCACAGTTTAATGCATCATACAGGCTTATCGACTACGTCCACAGTTTCTCCTCTCACAAAGGAAAGATCCCTAACAGCAATGGTCAACAGCCCTGCCACCCTAGCTCTACTAACCCAAGGTCAGTCAGTCCAAGCAGCCACAGTAATTACACAAAGTCATGTACTTCAAAGCATCAACACTATAACAGGTGCAAGTTCAAAGGTCAAACAAATTGTCCAGTCTGCCCAGCATCCTACCGGTCAAGAAACTTCTCCAGCAGCAAGTCCACAGAAAGCATTGATCCTTCATCAGTGTTTAAGAAATGGAGAGGTACATGCAGGTAATGAAATTAAGAAGGATTGTGCTAATTTGGTAGTTCAAAGGAAAGCAGACAGCACAACTGGATTTGCAATGATTTGTGAGGCAATTCGTCCTAACCACACCCCAGCTATATCCAACATGACAGAATCTGTAACTTCTTCCATCAGTCCTACAGAAACTCCCCAGGATCAGCCTGAAAGAAGTATTACACCACTTCTGCAGATGGTGGGAGAGACTCGGCCACATACGCCAGACAATTCTGTTAGTAAACAACATACTTTAGCTTTACATAGCAACTTGCCTCCTACCCCTCAGACTCCTTCCATGTCCTTACCCACTATAAAGCTTCCTCCTATTTCCCCAACTCTTCAGCAACATTTACTTAGTCCTATAACCCCTATGAAAAGTAACCAGTCTTCTGTACAAAGTCCTGCTACAGGCTAACTGAAATCAAATATGCCACATAGAAGTACGTTACATTGTTTTTTTTGAAGTTGATATGCTGTTGAGTGATGACCAAAATGCATGTCACGTATACATCGTAAAAAACAGTGTATCAGAATCTGTAGCTGTTGGAATGTAGTGTCAGAATTTGAGAAAGATATTACATACGTTTATGCTAAAAGCTGGTGTTGTATTAAAAGCAATCCATAATTGTGAATAGTTGATCGTATTAGTATGTGCTTACATTCTATGACTAACGTACCATGCTCATTTAGAACTGCATTTTGAAACATCTCTAACTTTTTATGTTAGAAAACAATATTGAAATTATCAGTAGATGAATCATTCTTCACTTGCCCTTTTCTTTGGAAGGATTTTTCTTTTCATTATTTAGAAGATTTGCTTAATGATGGGTCAGAGCTCATGGTACACTGCCAGTATGGGAAGAAACGCAAATACTCGTATATGTTCATTACTTCTGATTTCAATACTTGAATACACTGCCAATAAAATGAGTTTTGCATATATTCCTGCATATCTGGGGTTCTTATAATAAGTGTAGCTCTCATCCTTTCAAGTGTAGTTTTTGTCCCAATATCTTTGTATGAAGATATTTATTTATGGTTTTCATCTGATAACAAATGAAGTAATATATTCCAATTATTGGATGAAGAATTATTTTTTTTAATGTTGCTAAGACCCACCTTTGGCTACCTCATTGGAAGTGAAAAATTATATATCATTATTTTTGTGACATGTTGTGATTAATTTTGTTTTCTCTTAAACCACAGAAATTAAATCTTTTTTGAAGATTGTAGGTAGTAAGTTAGGAAGTGCAAGCATTACGTAAGTTTTTAAGTAACTAATTTCATAACATATTAATAAAGATTTTTACTTGTAAAAAGATATTTAGAAGAAATTTGGAAACATTAAGGAGAAATTGTGTTTTTCCCATTTCTTTCTAAATAATGCTAATTTCAATTATTGGTATTGACAGATGAGACAATATGTGATACTTGTGTTTCATAACTATTTTTCGTAAGGATGGGAGCACCAACATTATTAACATTAAGATAAATACTTGATCTGAAAGAATATGTGCATAACATGCCAAACTGTTCAAAAGAATACGTGTATGAACATGATTAATACATAAATTTATCATATAAGAGGCTTAATAAAGCTTTCCTGGATACCCTGGCTTGAGCCAAGTTGTTTAACTTGAAAAACGAACTACTGACAAGTTGATACTATCTTTATGATAATATAAATGTTAATGTATTTATGAAACATTTATTAATACTAGGAAGTGAGTAACCCTCGTAATTATTGTGGTTCCTTAAATTATCCAAGAAATTTGCATTTTTTAGACAAACATGTACGAAAGTGAAGTAGACAAGAGTTGTCCTAGTGGTTAGCATGCTGAACTGTGAACTTATATCCAGCTAACACATGATGTTTTTACAATGTTGCTGAATAGTTGTGCATTAGTAAAATCCATTAATATATATATATGTGTGTATATATATTCACCATTAATGTGTAACAGTGCGACAACATTGTCACAATATATAATGCATGATGTTAGTGAAATCCCACTTTTTGACTAGAGTTAGCACTGAGTGCTGTTGACTAGCTGCCTTCCATCTAGTCTGTCAGTTTGAAATTAAGAATGGCTAATGTAGATATCCCTTGTGTTGCTTTGCATAAGTATCAAATGAACAAAAATTTAATCAACTTAGAATTATTAGTTTAGAGAAATGTTATTGGAAAGGGTAAGTGAAAAATTTTTCACAAATATTCTATTCCTGATTTTAAGGAATGAAAGCCTATTATTACCAGTTAAGTAGCGACAGATAGTTTGCTTTACTGAATTATGAATAAACTACAAACTATGATATTAACTTGTGTGTAATATCTTTACAAATATAATGACATTTTGTTGAAATTATGGTTTAGGTTGGAATAGTTATAAATTTACAGTTGTTATTGCTTTTTATTTTTGTTTTAAAATTAGTATTTTTCATGTATTTTAGTCAAGATAATGTTCCTTTTTTAAATGGTTATTACTAATGAGAGAACATATTACCACTAGAGTCTATCAATATGAACAAAATCTAGAAAAACAACTACATTAAATGTGAATCAAGCATGAAACTTATTTTTTATTGTTTTTTTTTTATATAACCTAGTCTTTATAGTTTAGTGTTTTTTGCTCAAGATATACTTTTTTGTTAATCTTTTAGATAACCCAGATAGTATACTTGTGTATTCCAGCTAACGAATCATAATAATATTATAGTGAATGAAGATAGAATATTTAAAATGATTGTGTATGACTAAACAAGATTAAAATTTACTGAGTACAGCATAAAAACAACTACTTTCGTACATTCACATGTTAAATTTATTAATGTTTCTATAAAAAAATAATTAATTGGTATTAGTATTTTGGTAAAATATTTCAGTGATTTACCATTTTGTTAATTTGCCAAAAAAACTGTAAAAGAAATAAAAATGTAAGGCAAGTGTTTCATAAGTGTATTCTATTGAGGCATTTTAACAAAATTGTGTTGGTAAAAATCTCAATCCTAATGATATGAAATTATTTTTAATGTTTAGATAAAACGTTTTTTTATTGTATAATATTTATACAAAAAAAAATGTCTTAAACTGTAACTAAATATTGCATTTTTAGTGAATTATTTCAGGTTAAGCAACTTCTGCATATTAAAGGTTTGTTTCAAAATTGTTAGCTGACTCAATACATGTATGTTTGTTTGTAAGCAGTTGCACTCAGAAATGACTAACTTTATTGCTTGTGATGTTAGAAAGAACAAACAAATACTTGTAGTTAAGGGTAATCTTACTTACTCTGAACAAACTCTAGATAAACTTAGCAAGTATTTTCCAGTTTCAGAAGGTAACATTTCATTTGTGGCAAACACTTCAAAAGATTTTTTTTTTAATGAAGGTGTGATATTGATACATTTTTGTCACTTATTGTAAAAATACGTTTTGATTAGCTTCTCTTGTCAGACTAAATGATGTTCAGAAATAATGTTGTAGAATGTTGATTGCTTTCACAGTTTTTATCTTTCACATTTCCGTTAGTACTTAAAGAATTAATAAATTCTCAGGATTCCCAGCTTACCTGTATTATAAACATTTAGCTAAGGTTGTGCACCTGATTTTTAAATAATTGTGAAAGTGTGGTAGAAGAAAGATAACATTTACACATGCCTTTTTATGTCATACATAGTATCTAGTTTACATATTTTAGAACTATATATTTTTAATGTATTGTCCATTTTATTTTGTGGGAAAACATTTTGAAATATGAATTAAGATGTATAACAATCGTACTACCAGAACTTTCCTGTGATCAGAATGCATAGAAAAGAACAGGTAACATTTTAAACTCATAATAACTATAACTGATCATCAGAGTAAATATTTTTTCCTCACATTTTGCTGCATCAGGTTTATCGAGAATATAACTACCATACCATATGCAAGAGTTGAAATTAACATTCTACAACAGTTTAAAATCATGGAATAAACTACAATAAGAAAAAAAAAAAACAGACTCGTATAATGCATACAAGTGCCAACAGTAACAGTCCACCAAGGGAGTGACATCTAAGAGTCACATAGAATGCTGATTGTAGTTTGTTTTCATTTATAACTAGTTGCAACTTTGAATTCTGTGTTGTGTATGTGTTGTTCAAAACCTCATATTAGACAGGTTTTTGTTATCAGGTAGAAGCATAATCAGAAACAAATGTTTTTGATATATCTTTGAATCTTTGTATGTACATCAAAATGAAAGGAAGCATTTTTCTTGCCAATCTAAAAGATGGAAAATAAAACTTACAGATTTTTTTTTTATGTTAAAATGGAAAAAACCATCACACATATAAATAAACACAAAGAGATGCTAAAATAATTCTAAATACCAAAACCTGTAAAAATATTGAATGAAAAATGACAAGGTTTCAGTAAACGTAATTCTGTGTTGTATGGTTGTATAAATACTGTTTTATAAAGCCATAAAGCTTAATGTTAATGTAGAACACTACTTTTCTTTCCTATTTTCCAATGTAGCACAGTATCGTACAGACTGCTACAGTCAACCCCAGGGAATACATACCCTAATTAACAAAAAATTTGCATCATACATTATGCCTCCACAGAGAAATTAAGGTTGATAAGCCAAAATATTCCCAATCTTGCTATTAATATTTATATATTTTACATGTTATTGTAACAAGATAACTGAGTTAGCTTCATTATTGCAAAAAGAAAGAAAAACATGACTTGTGGTGCTATATATATATATATATATATAATAAATAGTGATGTTTAAATACAATTAGTAAGTATTTGGCATCATTTTCCACATAGATAGTAATTATGATACATGTGATAGAATATATATGTTATCTAACATTACTCTATATTCAGTGCCATAACTCTCATGATTTCGCTTATCTCGTAAGTTACTTGAAACATTATTAGGTGATCTATTAAAATGTCAGTATTATGTGAAAACATTCATATTCAGATACATAAAGGTGCAGAGTTCAGAAAAAAATAACGTAGAAGAAATAGATTCATTTAATTGCTTTTATGTGCACTCTTCATTAGGCTAAAAATGTGTATAAAAAAAAAAAACGTTAATTCATGTTTTCTCCAAGAGTCTCAACCAAAGACTTGGATAGATGATTTCCTAGTAATCTGTTACAGAATACATTCAGTCCTTGTCGTATATAGAAACTTCGTTTGTGTTTTTAAAACAAAATCTGTCTTAATCGTTTAGAAGTTCTAAGGTAGCATTGAGTATCAGAATGATGAATGAATTTACATTTTTTGTGATAACAAAAGCATGAACTACTATAATAAATCACATATCAAAAGACTAATTTAATTTAAAAATTATGTCTCCCAATTAATAGAATTACACATTCCACCCAGACGAAATTAATCAAAAGCTTTAATTCCTCATTACTTATCAATCAGTAAGGAAATCACCAGTAGCAGTTGGAAAACTTCGTGCCTAAGAGAATTCCGATGGTAGGTTAATGCCTGTGTTAATTTCATCGCTGTGATAAAACTAATAAATACGTATGTATATGACCATAAGTTCAACACTTTTAAGTTGTTCATTATAATAATGCATTCCTTAAAACTGCAGAAAATACTTATTATTTTAGAATGTAATATAACTAAAATCTAGAAGGGAGGAAAGAGTTAAAGTGAGAGATAAGAGACAACTTTCTCAATATGTGAGGCCTAGAATTTGCAATCTTTCTTTGAATTAATCTATTTTGGGAGAAATGTAGAATATAAATTTATGTTCTAGAATTACTGTTTAAAGCTATTTTATTGTTATTGGCTCAACTCAATCAGTGCAGTGCAAGCACTTTTAGGAACGACTGACTGGCTTCTGTTCTAAAATACAACAAAAACAGTTAATATATTGTTTGTGAAAGATAACAGGATTTTGAATTTGTATACCTTAAATATAAATTTAAGGATTTTTTTAGTATTTAGATTAAGAAAGATTTAAAAATCATTTTGCCAAATAGTATTTCCCATATCTTTTAATTCTTTAGGATTTTTTTTTTTTGTTAAACCTTGTTTAAACTTTGACATTTATATGTAAGCTAGGGCCAACTAACTTTAATATAAAAATACATCTGTATTTTTTAAGTTTTCCAGCATATTCTTATAATTCCAATGAGTGTGTTCATAGGCGATTAAAGTTTGATATGAATCATTATATACGACTCAATATATTTGAAATCAGTATACATAAACTTATACAGGTGCTTCATAATCTAACAGTGTTTTTGTAGTTGAGTAATTCTCAAGGTGTAATGTTTTATTTATCGAGTTATTATTATTTATCTAAAATCCTAAGAAATGGATACATCAATATTCTGATTTCATACCATTCATAAAATTGTGTTGCATGTTTCCAAAGAAACACTTGCATACAGGAATATCATCCAAAATAAATGTATTCTTAATAAGTACATCTGCAATGATAGTTCTAGTATATTAAAAATCTGTGTATTAAAATAATCAGTGTCACTGTAGTAAGATAATCTTCAGACTCTGTTATTGTTTTATACTTTCTCTTAATAAGTAGCTTTTTTCATGAATCATTTAATGACTGTTGTCTTCATATCTAACACTTAACCTTTTAAAAGAGATACAAAAACTATCACTGTTTTGTGGTTTGGATTTTATTTCATATAGAAATACTTATCAAGAATTAATTTATGTCCAATTCAGTAGCTAGAGGGTTTTTTCAGTGTTTATTATTTTTCTAATACATTTGCTTAAAACTGTTAATTTTTTTACTGGGTGATCAAAACTATACATGAAACTACATTATATGTATAAGTTATCTCTGAAAGACTGTCGCTCATCAGTTTTTGGTTTATTTGAGAATATAATTGTAATTAGGTAAAAATGCATGTATGATTTGATGTTCATATAGCGCACAGACTTTTTTGTCAGCTAGAAGTTTCCATCTTTAGTTTTTCCTATTCTGTTTTGTATGATTATAAAATGAACATACTAACTTTCTAAGTTTGGATAATACAATCATAGTTTTATTTAATGAGCATTTAGAATTTAATGAACTCATAAAAACTAAAAAAGAACCCTAGAATATTTATTGGATTCAAGAAATATAAAAAAGTGAATATAACATTTAAATTAATGCACAAATAAACATTTATATTGCACAATATTCGTTGTTTAGTTACCCAATAATTGTATGAGTATTCATACTACAATATACAAGTAATTTTCGAAATATTGATCTTACTTTATAAAAAAGCCTTTGTTTGTCTAGCTTTATTTATATTTGATCCAACAGTATTAGTTCAATTAATTTCTATACCACATCAAAATAATTGGATTAAGTAACATATATGTGGGTAAAGTACTTGAATTTGTGCTTATATCTTTCTTGAATTTTCATTAGTTTGACATAAGAAACAGTGAATTAAGGAACCCATTATCATCAGAAAAATTAACTTCAGAATAAGATGTTTAGGATAATAAACCCAAACCCTGTGATTAGCAGAGAGAAAACTGTAGCCAAATACTAAATAAAGATGAGAAATTGGATGAGTAAATGAAAGAATAGGCAAGGAGAAGGAAGATTTAAATGGTGCATGTTAGTTTAATGGTGGATGTGACTGTAGAAAGATTAGATGCTTATTTTATAAAAATATAAGAATAATCAAAACAATTGGTTTATAGCAGGAAATTGAAGAAAAATACATATTCATACTAGATTAGGGTAGAAGGAACATAAAAGTCATTCAAGGAGAAGTACATTGATAAATATAAGATAAGTTAAGAACAGAAGGAAGAAAATAAATATTGGTAGATAGTATAGAAATTGAAGGATGTAGGTATATATAGATGATCAATGCAAGATTGTTTGATATTAAAGAGATTGAAAATGTGTGATAGAGTAAGGAGATAAAAAATAGAGAAGATAGTCTTATCGGTAGTAGAATACATGAAAGTTTAAGGGAAGAATTGTTAGTTAGTAGACAGAGTGAAAAATATATTTCTGTAATAAACAGTAGAAGGAAGTGAAGATGGGGTGATATTAGAGATTTAAAAATGTTGACTAAGAATAC